CAGTCTAGAGCACAGTGTCACCTGAAGGAACACACACTTCTCTAACCAGCGCGGGGGGACCACACTGTGTCACTTGTCCCTGGACTGGTAGGACTGAAGCCCCCTTCCTGCTCGGGCACTGCAAGCTCGGCAGGAGGAGACGCTGGAGGCGGAAGCAAGTGGCATGTGCAAAGGGACTGGAGTGGTTTCAGAGAAGAGGCAACGTCAGGATGAGGTCTGCAAACGGCACAAGAATTGGTTCCATGGTGCCTGAGACAGAGGGAACACAGCGCGTGGGCAGGAGGTGGAAGAGAGGACGGGAGTTAAAGGCTGGTCAACAGTGTAACTGTGTGTGTGTGTGTGTGTGTGTGTGTGTGTGTGTGAAGGACATACGAGGGGAGATCCCAGCCAAGGAGACTAGATTAAAGGCTGGTCAACAGTGTAACTGTGTGTGTGTGTGTGTGTGTGTGTGAAGGACATACGAGGGGAGATCCCAGCCAAGGAGACTAGATTTCACTCTCTAAAGAAATGGGTCCCCATGAGGGCAGAAGAGTGACCAATCAAATCCCTATTTCAGAAGGAGCCCTCCATGGCTGTGTGCAAAGTGGCCACATGTGGGTAATGGCTGCAGGTGGAGGGGTGCTGAGAAGGGGAGGGGGTCACCAAGATTTCAGACTAGAGTTGGTGATACCCAGATACCAGTAGTTTTTTCAAGTATTTTTTAAAATCACCACGTGCAGTAAGAAATATGTTTGAATGTCATAACCCAGTGTGCATACTTACACATGTGCATTTATACAGACACATGTGTATATGTACACACACACAACCCCCCCCGCAATAGTGAGCCGCGGCTGAAGGTCCATGGCCCCACCACACTCACCACCCCACCCAGGAAAGGAGGCGACCAGAGCTATTCTGTCTCAAAGAGCAGATGTGTTCTGCATGGCTGTTTCCTCTACAACACCACTGACTGAAGGTGGCTGCTGATCCGAGCCACCTCAGTGTTGTCTTTGTTACTAAGGCAATGTTTTATCCGCCCCTGTGACTCGTGGCTCTTTCATAACCTTGCTGGCTGATGGTATGGCACGGGCTCCGTTAGGTATTCGAGGATCACAGCACAGCCAGGCTGTTAGCAAAGCTCCTTATCTGCACTACTGATTTCTGAAGTCAACCTGTTGCTACTCTTAAATGAAAGAGGTTGCCATATCCAACTTTTCCTCATTTTAGAGAGTATTCTGAAGATGCCTGAAGCCCTGGCATACAGTTTTTCTTAAAAGAAACAATGTGTGATGCTAATTTTGGTCTCGATGACCCGACCCTGCAGAGTTTTAAGTAGTTTGGCCTGCTCCTTGGACCGTCAGGGCAGAGGGAACTCAGCGGCCATTAGCACTAAATGAATGGGCACTGCTTCTGTTCATCACCCAGAGCGTGAGCATCCTGGGAAACTCATTTACAAAGCACATTCACAGTGTCATTTTAATAGCTACTGTTTAATGGGTGTTCAGTAACGTGTGGGGCGCTGTGCTCAACAATGGACACGCATCATCTCACCGTCTTCAATCAGACCTACAAGTACTATCATTTTCTAGAATATGAAAAAGAAGCTTGGAAGATGGGAGAAACCTGCCCAAGGCCACACAGCCACAAGGGGTAAGCCATGAGTCAAACTCAGGTTTGTCTGCCTTTAGAAGCTGCATTCTTAACTGCTGGGTTACATTTTCTCTGTTGCTCTAAATAAGTTTTTCTGAGGCCTAGCAAAGCCAACAGATTTACCTGACGACCACAGAACAAGCGGTAATACCACAGCACCAGTGTCAGTCAGCTTCCTACACCACCTCCACTCCCTGCAACTTCATAGCTGCCCCGGCCCAGTACCCTGAACCCAAGGGTCAGCAGTGCCCACAGGCAGACAAGACATAGGGGAAGAGAAGGGGAGAGAAAAGGCTCCTTGAGAGTCATGGGTTTACAGTGAAGCTGGCTCTCCCACTTCACCCTTTAAAGTCAAAAGGAAAACAGAAGAAAGAATTCACGTTTAGATGTGGCAGGAAAAAAATGAAACGAAGTATGACCTCAGCCTAATTCAAGGCAGCTGTATAATCTATGCACTAGGAGGCAGAGAGACAGTTCAAACGATGGAATAGAGGTAGTAGGTGGGTTAAATAAGAACACATGTTAAAATATTTAAAGGCCATTAGAAGCTTACCACGTGGAAGCCAGTAACAAAAATGGAAATGAATGAAATAAAGTTAATACTTCTTTCTTTCATAAGAGTCTAGGATAAGGAAATGCGGAAAAAGAAATTCTTAGTACTGGGAGCTCCAGACGCAGTATCTCAGTGAGGGAAGAAACTCCACAACTCAGTCCACTGAGGTTACAGAAGTGTGTATTTACATAAGACAGATTTCACAACCCTGTCACGCACAGGCCTCGAAAACAGATCAATAATGTAAATCAACTGCTCTTAAAAAGTTACTAAAAATCCTTCTCTAAAAAAAATTAAAAATGAAAATCCTTCTCTGTAAACAACTATGAATCCCAAAGCTGGGTGAAGTGTGGCATGAATACTAGAAATTATTAAAATCCCCAAACCAGGTTCTTCAAAGTAAGTCATGAGACAGCAGTTTATCCCGAGCCCTTCCTCCTCAACAAGCCAGTATTTCAGCCCTAACTCGGCTCCTGCTCTTGGTTTTTTTTTTTCGGCTCCTGTTCTTGAATCTTTGCTTTTTTCTCTGGCAACACACTCAAGAATTTAAATAATTACTAGGCTTGGTGGAGCAGTCATTCAATATAATGTTCTGCTTCCTAAACCTCCTAATTTATTTTCCAACAAATATTTGTCAATGGCAGTTGAAAGTAGGCTGTTTTTATTTAAACGCTGCCATGGAGCAGGATCCCAGTCTGAGAAGTTTAAATGGAATACTTACTTCAAAAGCAAAATTCATTATGATGAATGTGCCAAGTGAAATCAGAACTCCACTAACGTTGATTGGATACATTCTTCCGAAGATATTTTTATGACCCTTGCAATTCCCTATTAACACCCACGCGGGCTGCATGGGAGATGTTCCCACCATTTGACACAATATAGGTTATTAGGCTTAATAACTTTCCATCTCTCAGGCTGACTGCATAGTCTGAAGAGACGAGAACAGCTGCAGTGTGAAAATACTACCTTTGAAAGGAAGAGAAACGGGATATGACAGGTCTTTAAGAGCACAAGCAGAGGAAACATAGTTTTGTTTTTTTAAATGTAAAAATTATAGACCTAGATGGTCACCATGGAAACCTAATACACAAAACATCTGAATGTGTCAGCCTATGGAAAATGTACAAAATGTCATGAATGGTTCTGCAGATAATAAGTTCAGGGGGGACAATCAGTCTACAGATGTGTCTTCACAGTGGTGGTCAGTGGGCCTGGGGCATTCGGATGATGACTTGCTGGAGGATGGGTGGGTGAGGATGGCCCTGTGGGTTTACATGTGAGCTCCTGGCACACCTCTCAGAGCAGAACCCAGGCTCCATGGGAGAAGGGTCCAGTGAGCAGCACCAGTGTTCTTACAGATCAAACCGACATGGGCAGACGAAAAACCCCACGGGCGCTGCATACATGATTATAAACACATGGTGCTGCCAAAAGGAGGGCCTCAAATTCCCTGCCTTCCGGCTCCTGGTGGCCACTAAATGTATGCGTGGCTCAGATGACCTAGAAAGAGCACTGTCCAAGGAGGGCATCTCCCTTCTCTGAGGTCACTGACGTGTGGGCCTCTGAGATGACAGGCAAGGACAGTGTTCCTGAGGATTGTGCAGAGTACGACAGCACCGCCTCTTTCCAGGGCTGGCCTGGGGTGGGTGGTGGCCAACCACAAAGCAGGGTGGGTCAGGAACTCGGCGCCAGTCCCTGCACTGGGGGGGCCCCCAGCCTCAGTCCCTCCCCTGACCTCCCGCTTCCCGGTTCAGGGGGGTGAGTGCAGCTGCTTCACCATCAAACTTTTCTCCCCATTTCACACAAATACCTCTAGCCTGCTTGCCCTGTGCCTGATGGAAGTCTAGTCTTCACAGAGGAGAGGCTCAAGGCCAAAGACTGCATGCACTGCCCTCTGTTCTAACTCTCAAAAAGTACTTGTTGGGCAAGGAGAAAGTAACCAGCCAAATTCCAATTTTCCTGATGCAAAGAGGACTTTTCCTACTGCCCAAGATACAATATGCTTCCAGTACAAAACAGCTCTTTTTTTGCATGTCTGCCCAATAGCGGCTCAATTAAAAACAGGTCTGTCAGACTGACATGGTTTCCTCCACTGCTTAGTTCCTGTCACGCTGCAGATAGTGGAGAAGCAGTAAGAGGCAGCCACGAGGCCATTTCCCATAAGATGTGTTACTCTTTAGACCGTCATCCTCATACAGCCATCAAAGTGAACTTAATGACAAATCAGTTAAATCAGTTAAAATAAATTACTTTTAGGAACTTGTAAGGATCAGCTAAGAAGCAAAACACATATGACATCTCTTTGGACCTCCCTGGGACGCACAGAATTGCCACCATCTGTGCTGACTGTTCCGTCTGCCTGGCCTGCCCCCACCCCCTGCCCACCCCACCCCCTCCAGATTCACCCTCTGCCCTTCCCTGTCCTGTGCAGAGGTGAGCTCTGCAGACCGCAGGCCTGGGTCTGCATCAGCCATGACCTCCTCCCTCTGTGGCTTCAAGCTGGGCTTAGCCCAAAGGAGGCCCTGTAGGAGCTCAGAGGCTGGAGAAGTGAGATGTCGGGGGTCCCCCCACCCCATCGTGCTTCGACAGCCAGGCAGCCCCTCTTCTTTTCCCCGCTGCTGTGCCCCGTGGCACTCGCAGCCTCCAGTTCCACACATCCCCAGATGCCTCAGCAGCTTGGCTGGTTCCCGTAACCCTGGCTGTATCTGTAGCAACAATCCCATGACTATGCCTGTGACTGCCCACCTCGCCTGGCTGCCCACTTCTTCACCCCCTGGTTGGCAGCCCGAGGCTCCCAGCTGGGATCACTCACCTGGACCGTGTGGACCAGGTCGGCTGCTAGGCACTGCTTCAGCTTCTCATCGCTGCTGGTCCCGTGAAGCACCAGGTCCGGCATGTACGTGGGGCAGTATCCCGCCAGGAGGGAGCGGCCGAAGTTTCTCACATTGGGGTTGCTGATGCTCTGAGACCTAAAACAAGACCAGCCATCAGCATGCACAATGCAAACGTGCTCCCTTCTTGGACTGCAGTGGGAACAAAGCCCCAGGGACACGGATGAGAGAAACAGATCCAGGGACAGTCACATAAGGAGTCCTCGGGGAAGCAGGTCACTGGTGCGGGAAGGGAAGGGAGTTAAAGGAAAAAGGAACTTTCCTAAAGAGGAAGAGCAGGAAAAATCAGATATTCTGGTGGCTGGTTGTGAGTCTGTTCTTTGCCTCCCAGACCTCATCCTCCAGGCACTGGGTCGGGAGAGAAGAGAAACTGTGTGTGTGTGTGTTGTGGGGGAGAGGTGTCATTGGCAAAGTCTGGCTCCAGGAACTCATACACCTGCATAGGGGGGTGCCAGGACTGGGAAGGGACAAATCTCTCCTTACTGCTTTACAGACCAAGTCATCTGCTGATGTTGTCTTAGGAAGAGGTGCTGTTTACCAACCACCTGAAGCTGTCCTGACCAGACAGGCAGGGGAAAAGCTGCTTGGGGGTTATAACCTACCACCACATCCACCCTCCGCCCTCCGAGGCTGGGCATCCATGGCCACAGATCTTTCTCGAGGATGGTGAGATATGACATGCCTTGCTCCCCACCACCACTGCATCCCTCAGTGGCCAGAGAGGCAGCATCTGACCCAGCTCCCTCTGCCTGCCGCCGGCCTTACCTGGGCAGTGGCAGCTCCACCTCTAGCGACCCTTCGCTCTGGTCACGGTCCGCATCAGGATCACTTCCAGGACCCAGGTCCGGCGACGCCGCTGCACATGCATCGTCATCACTGTCTCCGAGGGCACTGTCGGAGCTCTCGTTCCGGGGGAGGCCACCTTCCACCCTGAAGCTGGCATCACCACCAGGCACAGGAGCGGTGCACCCGCTCATCGCGGGCGCGTCTGCGTCCTTGCCCCCCAGACCCCCCGGCCTCGCCAGCGCGCCTGCGGGGTTGGCAGGTGCGCAGGTGGCACGTGCATCTGGCACCCCAGCAACCTCCGCGGCAGCCTCGGTCCTGACGTCTCTGGCCCCCCCAGATGCCCCAGGGGACCGGGAGCATGTTGGAGCGCGCTGGTCCCGGCCCTCCTGGGCTGGGTCGGCAGCCGCACCAGGCCTGGCCGGGGGTCCCTGCGCCGGCTCTGGCTCCGCACACCTGCAGGCTTGCAGCCGCTCCTCCATTGCTTTGGTGCGACTTTCAAAGTCCGACTCCGGAGACACGGAGCTCCCGATGTGGAAGGTGACTTTTTCCCAGGGCGGCCTGTCCCGGAAACGTCCATCAGGGCATGGCCTGGCCGCTGACCGGTCTGGCAGCTTCTTGGGCACCTCCCCTCCTGGCTCCGCCCCAATGGCTGGAGGGCTCATCTTCAGCCCCGTGCCCACACCTGCACCACTGGGGAGCCTTGCAGAGCCGCCTCGAGGGAATTCCTTACTCTCCTCCTCCCTGCACGATGCACCCTGAGGTCTCCATGCGCCGTGGGCTGTCAGGCTCTTCTCCAGGGCCCCGCCTCCTTCTCCATCAAGTTGGGGACACAGGTCTCTGGGGTCAGCGTCCACCGGGACCCCAGCCAACCCCTCAGCCGTGGTCACAGGCAGGGTGGGCGGCAGGAGGGCAGGCTCGCTCCTCACCGTGACCACCACATACTCAGACTCCTCCACCTCCCCCCTCTCCAGGGCAGTGGTGATGCTGCTCCCGTGCAGTATCTGCTCGCCTTGCGCGGGGCCCCCACTCCACATCAGCTGGTTCTCCTGCAGCTCTGAGCACCGCACGAAGTAGGTCAGCACGTACAGTATGCGCTGCACCAAATCCTTCTGCTTCCCCAGCACCACCGTGCGCGTCAGCCGCACCGGGGAGCCGATGGCTCCGTAGAGGTCGCCTAGAGGCCAAGTGGACACAAAGACACGGTCACCTGGGTGAGCGCTTCAAGGCTGTATGCCAGCCTGAACAGGAGAAACACGGATGACATGTTCCCAGACCAGACTCACTTCACACCCCTGAGGCACAGAGGTTAATTCCTAGAATGACCTTCTTTTCGTTTCCTTCTAGGCTGGAATGTCTGCCTAGGAAGACCGGTCAGGAGCAGCCCTGCTCTGGGTGTTCACGGGCAGCGTGGTGTATACTGGGTGCAGAACTGGTGTTATTGGGTGCACTGCAGGGATATGCTGGGTACAGCACCAGTGCGTATACTGGGTATGTATACAGTGCAGGTGTGTGCTGGTGCAGAACTGGTGTTATTGGGTGCACTGCAGAGATATGCTGGGTACAGCACCAGTGTGTATACTGGGTAGGTATACAGCGCAGGGGTGTGCCGGGTGCAGGGCTGGTGTATGTTGGGGGCAGCATGGGTGTGCATACTGGGTATGTATACAGCGCAGGTGTGTGCCGGGTGCAGGGCTGGTGTATGTCGGGGGCAGCACGGGTGTGCATACTGGGTATGTATACAGTACAGGTGTGTGCTGGGTGCAGGGCTGGTGTATGTCGGGGGCAGCATGGGTGTGTATACTGGGTACGTATACAGTGCAGGGGTGTGCCGGGTGCAGGGCTGGTGTATGTCGGGGGCAGCATGGGTGTGTATACTGGGTATGTATACAGTGCTGGTATGTGCTGGGTGCAGGGCTGGTGTATGTCGGGGGCAGCACGGGTGTGCTTACTGAGTACAGCACCAGTGCGTATACTGGGTATGTATACAGTGCAGGTGTGTGCCGGGTGCAGGGCTGGTGTATGTCGGGGGCAGCACGGGTGTGCTTACTGAGTACGTATACAGTGCTGGTGTGTGCCGGGTGCAGGGCTGGAGTATGTTGGGGGCAGCATGGGTGTGCATACTGGGTACAGCACGGTGCGTATACTGGGTATGTATACAGTGCAGGTGTGTGCCGGGTGCAGGGCTGGTTTATGTCGGTGCACGGGTGTGCATACTGGGTAGAGCATGGTGCGTATACTGGGTTCAGTGCTGCATGCAGTGCCATGCACAGAGGCCCCTGTTTGTGGGCTAGGTCTTACCATGTAGGCCAGTGGGCCAGCTGACTCCCTTCTCCCCAAGGACGGCTAAAGCCAGAGCCCTTATTTGTGACCAAACCAAATCACTTATTTTGGAAATGAGAATGATGAGAACTTTTTTAGAAGAATCTGAGGACAATAAGCCTTGGGGTTACATCCAAATTCTGGGATCTCTGAGCAGAAGTGCAGTGAATCAATTCAAAATACTTAATGAAATGGTCTGCTCAATACACAGGAGCATCAAGTGGAATCAATTTGATTACCAAGAAAAAAAATCACTTGGTCATGAATAATTAATCTGATTTTTTTCTCTTAGGTCATATGAAAATTCTACTGGAGGAAAATGTGCCATAAGTTATATCCTGACATGCTGATTAAAAACTGGCTACAGGTAGAAGAAAGGAAAACCTTTGAGAACCAGCAGCATAGGCTTCTCATCACAGGTGTCTGTCCAGTGCCTGACCATTAAAACTACTGCATTTCATAAAATCTGAGTACTATACTTGGTAAGGTGTATCTCTGGTACTTTGATAATAATATGGACAATTACAACAAAAAGCCAACACTTCCTGACTGCAGGCACAGCGCTGAGCGTTTCACGTAGATTTATCTCCCTTACATCTCTGCAGGAGCAACCCTGAGTCAGAAACCACTTTGGGAATAACCAGAATGCTGGAATAAATCAAAATGTGGAAGGGCCCTAAGTAAAGCAGAGGAGATACGTGGTGAGAGTTACAGTAAGAACTCAGGAATCTGGACTCCATCTAGAGGGAGGGGGGAGACATTTCTTAGATAAGATTAATCATACAGCTAAGATTAAGACTCAGGAGAAAGTGACAGGACCCATCAGAGGTGGGTCCTCTCCCCTTGAGAGGATTCCTAGGGTAAGACTCTGAGAACAGGTAATGGGCAAGACACGAGTGTAACCACATGATCCCCTCTATAAAAAGACTAAGTTACAAACTAGTAGAACTTTACTTCGGAAGCTCTTGCAACTGACTGAGAAACCATGCAAGAATTGAAAATAACTCAGAACTGCAGTTGCTCTCTGGACAAGCATTTTTGTTTGAGAAAACTTTCTCGACTAGGAGCATACTACTGCTACTTCCCATGATCACGTCTGCTGTGACTGTGGAGTGTCACGGCCATGTCAGGGATTCACACAACACTACTGTTAACTCGGCCCATGTTCATCAAGAAGATGAGCAGGGATGCAGGCGGAGCGAGGTGGCAGTAGGGCCCATCCTGGCAAACTCTCAAATGGGCCTTGAAATCATTCAAGACAGACCTTCTCTGTGACGGAAGAACCATGAATACAAGTACATTAGCACCGGGCATATTCCTGGCCATTTATATTTTCCTGTTTGCTGTGACTTGGTGAATGTTTAATAAAAATAACAATCACTGGAAATAAGTGTCTCCCTGTCAAAACAGTGCAGTCCTCAAGGTTCTGTAATACTGGAAACCCAACCATCACTTACCCTTGGCTTCACAAAGCTCTCCCCTGTGACTGTACCCCAGGCTGCACCCCGTCCTCAGTCTGTCCACTGCAGGCCCTGCTGGATGGTTGGGGTGCTGGGGGGGTACTTCTGAGAACATATGCTCTCCTTTGAAAGAGGATTGTGGGCCCAGAGGAAGGGACTGTGCCTTGTTATACTGAACACAGGGAACTGATCTCAATTAAACTTCACATGGAAAGCACAGCTATGTAGAAATATATTTAGCTAGTTAAATGCACACCGCTCAATTCATGCTCCTTTACAATGGGTGACTGGGCGCCAAGAAACACCATGTTTTCTAAACATCTGGCCCCCTTCTGTCACCACTGAATAACTACTTTTCTTCAAGCCTGTTGTCCATAACCAGAACAGCAGTGCCTGGTCCTCCCTGGGAAGAACCCGACGACCCAGAAGGAGCTAGGCTCCCGCTCCTTCCTCTGTGCTGATGGGCTATAGTAAATCCATTCAGGACACCTGTAAATCCTTCAGTTAACTCATCTGCACCTAGGCTCCCCCTAACATGGGAAATGCACCCTCCTCCTCACACACTTCATGACCCAGGGCGCAGGCAAAGACAACTTTTTCATTTGTAATATAGTGAGGATGCAGCAACAGGTTGAGAATGAGAATCTAATTAATTAGTATGTGCAGAAAGCACCTGAAATAGAGTGTGGCTCACAGTGACAGCTTTCATTTCATTACTACTAGAATATGATCTTTCCCAAGGCTGCTGTGCCTGTCCCCAGTCTGCAATTCTTTTCTGGAAAATGCTGCCCTTCTAACTGTGCACCGAAGAATTGATGCTTTTGAACTGTGGTGCTAAAGAAGACTCTTGAGAGTCCCTTGGACTGCAAGATCAAAGCAGTCAATCCTAAAGGAAATCAACCCTGACTATTCATTGGAAGGACTGATGCTGAAGCTGAAGCTCCAATACTTTGGCCATCTGATGCAAACTGCCAACTCACTGGAAAAGATCCTGATGCTGAGAAAGACTGAGGGTGAGAGAAGGGGACGACAGAGGATGAGATGGTTGGATGGCATCACCGATTCAATTGATGTGAATCTGAGCAAACTCCAGAAGATAGTGAAGGACAAGGCAAGCCTGGTGTGCGGTCTATGGGGTCACAATGAGTCAGACATGACTTAGCGACTGACCAACAAGTGTGTCTTCCTTGAAAGCCCACTCTACTCACTCTATCTTCCGGGGTCCCTGCCATATTAACAGCTGCAGCAGCAGAATGGACAATAAGGCTACTTACAGATAAGCAGTGGAGTTCCCACAGCAGCCGTGAGTCATCATTTCCCACAGCACAGATGGAGAAGCAGAGGCACGGAGGTTAGGCCACTTGCCCAGGAGGCAGGGTTTTAGTCTGGCCATCTGGCCCTGACCCTCACCCTTCACACTGCACTCTCTATGGGCTGGCCTCTGCCCACCCCACCAAATGAGTGCTCAGGACGTTCTCAATACAACCTGCCTCCTCCACATGCAACAGGCATCCCAAGAGTGAGCTGCCTGTCATCCCAACCCTGGGTCCAGCCGACGGACGGAGTCCTGGGACAGAGCAGGTATGCAAGTCTGACTGGTCACTGCAGGCTCTGCTGGTGAGAGGCTCTGGCACCCACCTCTCCTACCCTGAGCCCTGGTCTCACAAGCCCATGCTCTACCAGCTGCCAAATAGCATGCCAGGTCCCTGCACCAGGCCTGAGCGCGAAGCTCGGGGGAAGTAGCCCAAGGGGCGGTGGACAGAAAGACAAGGTCTCTGCCCTCAGCTCAAACTTGCAAGGCAGTGGAATCAGAGTGTGTGCTTACTTGCTTTTTTCTCTGACTTTCCTCCTATCCAGTCCACCCTCTCTAGGGCAGTGGTGGTCCTCAACCAGGGGGTATCCTGCCCTCTATGGGACACTCAGCAATGTCTGGTGACATTTTTCATCATCACAACTTTGGAAGAGAGGTTTTCACTGGCAGCTAGTGAACAGAGGCCAGTGATGCTGCTAAACATCCAACCAGGGACTTCCCTGGTGGTCCAGTGGCTAAAACTCTGTGCTCCCAATGCAGGGGGCCTGCGTTTCATCTCTGGTTAGGGAACTAGATTTCACATGCTACAACTAAGACCTGGTGCAGCCAAATAAATAAATATTACCCCAAAAAAATCTGACCAGGCACCGACAGCCCCACTCCCCACAACCAACAAAAAATTTGATGGTCCAAATGTCAGTGGTGCCAACATGAAGGAAGCCCACTGGAGGAGGAGCCGTGGCTGCCATGTGGGAGGACCCAGTGGGCCAGCACGGCTTTAAAGACCAGAAGGAGGCTCTGGTGGGGCAAAGGTGCTGCTTTGCAGGTAGAATCTGTGGCACAGTCTCCTGTTCCCTGCTGGCCCAGTGACACCCGGGAATCGCTCGGTTGGATGGTAATATCAACCGAAAACGTTGCTGTTTCTGCAGTTCCACCCCACGCGGCCTCTGAATGGTCACATCAGGTACTGACCCAGCTGCGCCCAGAGAGGATTATACGGGTGTGTCTTGGCCAGCATGTTGACCAGCTGAGAGGTGCGTTTCTCGGAGAAGGCTTTGATGGGTGGGTGGTCAACGGGCATGACGGTGGGTACCCAGGCCAGGTGGTAGGTTAGGACTGCAGTCAGCAGGGCAGCAAAAAACCTTGGAGAAATGGGAGAAAACGTAACCAAGTGAGTCAACGCAGGAAGAGGCAGTCACCCACAGCATGTACACGGCCTTGTACATGTGCAAGGCCCCAGGGGGCTGCCCTTACTGGTTCTTGTTGATCTGCTCTATCAGGAGCGTAAACTCCCTGAGGAAGCGCTGGCACAGCTGGGTCCTCTCCAAGGTGCTGGACATCATGGCCAGCCACACGGGCTCGGCGATCCTGGGCACGGAGTACAGGCTCCAGATCGTCCCTCTACAGAAGAGAAGGGGAGCACGGAACTGTCACAGGGGTCGTGGTGGACGACCCTCGCATAAAGGAACCCAGAAGAAAACAGTCACCTGGGTCTATGTAGCCCCTAAGGCATGCGAAGCAGAACATAACACAGGGGTTGGCTGCAGGGCAGGAAGAGAGACACAAAGCGCGCTGCCCTGTGGGCAGCGTGGGCAGGAGATGGGATGGACTGGGCGAGCAGCACTGGCACGTACACATGCCGTGCGTCAGACAGACAGGTAGCAGGGATCTGCTGTGTCGCACAGGGTGCTCAGCTCGGTGCTCTGTGATGGCCTGGGAGGTGGGACAGGGGCGTGGGAGGAAGGCCAGGAAGGAGGGGACATCTACGCATACTAATGACTGAATCACGCTGTCATACGCGGAAACTAACACAACTTTGTAAGGAATTATACTCCAATTATAAACTGTTTTTATTAAAAAGAAAACTAAAAATAAAATAATATGAAACAGGGGTTGGTAAACTAGGATACAATGTACAGGTCAAATCTGACCTTCATTATAAATAAAGCTTTACTGACACACGGCCATGCTCATCATTTCCCTATTATTTTCCTGTGCATTTACACAACAGCAAAACTGAGCAGCCACAGCAGAGACCCCTTTACAGGAAACGTATATTAAACACAGATGTAAAATATCCTTTATGATGCCTTGGGTCAGAATCCAGGGTAATTTTTACAGGAGAAAAAAAATAAGGAAGAGAGATCAAACATGCTAGACTGAAAACGTGACCAGAGGCAATGCAAATCTCCCAATTTCTCGTCAGTACTTTCCTTCTCTGAACCAAAGCACTCTATTCATCAGATGAAAAAGCTACAAAAATGTCTCTTCTTCACTATATTATTTACTAGATTCTTACATGGACTAACAGAATCAAATTCTTAGGACAGTAAGCTGTTAGGAAACTGATGAGTCTAGTCATATCACTTTACAGATTAAGAAACCGAGGTGTAGAGGAGCTATGTTCCTTGCAGCAGAAACACACTCCAGTGAGGACGCCTGGTGCTGGGGGCTCTGCTCCAGCCCATGTTGCTCACAGGGGTCCTTCCAGGGAGCACACCGACTTAGCCTAGGTTTCCATTCCCCATCGAGAAACCGGCTTTAAGAAGCACTGCAACAGCCCTGCTTAGCCTGTTGACCATGAATCCCACCTGCACCCCAGAGCAGATCACCTCTCTGCCTCTGAGTCTAGGACACAGCCCCTCTCCCCAGTGAATATACACGAGGCATATTCTGACCTCAGTTTGGGGCCATGTGCATCCAAGGAGCTAGGACACACAGGATCCTGCCTTGGCCCAAAGCAGAACATTTCTGAGCAGACAGGAGGGACAAGTTACAGCCACACGGACCTGGGGTTCACCTACTGAAACCAAGGCCTGCAAGCACTAACATACCATACTGTCATCGTTTCTGAGCAGCAGTTTGCTAAAGTAAGAACAAGACCCATCCACCCACAGTGAGGCCTCTGATCCTGCACTTTCAGATCTGGACCTTTCGTTACACAAGTGTGCAGATGCTCCAGTATAAGCCAGCCTGGAGTCTGCCACAGCAGCCCCAGGGCGCCTACACTGCAGGAGGTTCACTAGTCACCACACTGCCACTGAAACACACAGCTATACATATTCCTCAAATATCTGACTTGGTCTGAACAACCCCAGATAATGAGTCATGTGTTATAGGAGTACTTTACACATAATTCAGGGCTCAGCAAAGACTGGAGACTTTGCTTCAAGCAGCATCTGAGTTCACCAGCCTTTACCTTCATCACAAAAACCTTCTAACGTTCTAAGAATTGTAAACATTTTTGTCCTGCAGCTAGAAAGGAACAGTTGGATTCATTCATTAGCCCATGACTGCTTCAGAGGGGGGCTTCCACTCCCCACCCAAGAAGCCAGCCCTGAGGAGTACTGTAACAACCCTGCTCAGTCTGGTGACCGTGAATCCCACCTGCCCCCAGAGCAGACCACATTTCTGCCTGACACAAGGGGCAAAACCTCTAGAAAACTGGTCTCCAGGATACAAAGGTTGTCAGTTAGGAACTCACAGCAAAGATACACTAGGGTGATCATGTGACTTATGTCCCAAGGAGGACCCTCACGGCGAGGACGCCAGGTGTGCACAGGACGGTCCTGACAAACCAAAGTGTAATGTCCCTGACCCACACACTCTCCCCACTTGTGCTCTGGACGAACATCTGGACTTCAAGTTTCTGCACCTATAAAATGGGCTAAGAGTGCTTACTCTGAGAGCTTTTGTGAGATGACACGAAACATATGAACATCAGTTTTCTCCATTCATTCTGGTAGAAACAATCAGATTAAAGACTGTCCCTCAGGCAGTCATGAGGATTACTTAGTGCTGGTGACTTAAACTTTTTGCTCCTTTGGGCCTTAGCTTCCAAGGAAGGAGCTGCTAAAATAACCAATAGTTATTAGGTTATAAATAATCAGCCCTCAACTCGGAATCTGCCCCCAACTCTGATTCTGAGTCATGGTCTCCACGCATGTGGAGGTTCAAGGTTGCTGTTCCACAATATCCCTTACTGGGTTGTTGCCAACTTACCTGAACTCCCCCAGAGCTTCCATCAGACGGCTGACATAGAACTGGACACGGAGACTCGACTCTGCTATCTTCCTGCAGGAAATCATGGCCTTCGGTGGAGAGAAAAGAAGTCACCTTATGCTGAGACGACATTCCTTCACAATCATCTACCAGGCTTTATTCATGAGACAAGGTTACGGCCCACATGGGAGGCAGTAATTCCCTTTCCCAGAGCGATGAGCACCTGCTGACTGACATGAGTGTGCCTACGGATCCGTCTACCACTGCTGCTGCCAATCCCCGCGCCCCGGGAAAGTGATCCAAGACAGAGCCCGCCACCCTTACAGCCCCGTGGAGCCATGCACTGCACTTTCAGTACCTTTTCAATGGCACTCTTCAGCCTGTTCATGTGAGATTCAAACAGGGGGAAGTGAGAAAAAAAGAAGTCCTGGAAATTCCTCTGTGCCTCTTCCTTCTCGCACAGTGAAAAGATGATGCTTATGGCAATCTTCTTCCTCCGGACTATGGCCGGGTTGGAACTGCAGGTTTCTTCAGCTAAGCTGAATGTCTCATCCACTGACCTGGAAGGAGAAGGGGTTTGAGGAGCCGCTCTGCATCAGTGGACCACATCCCCTGCTAAGCTCCTCCTCCATCAGATTCATTGTGAAAATTAAAACCTCTACTTGATACTCAATGTTATCATAACATGAAAAGAAACTTCAGTGAGAACTGAAAATAATTTTAAGTGCCCTCTTAGACTCTTAGTCCTTTTCCCTTAGACTGTGTTACATCAGACTGGTGATATTTGGGAAGGGGTGTGAAACATGTGTTGGCTCAAAACACAGGCCCTCAGTTTTGGCTAATAGATATCAGTAGATAAGAATCTCTGAAAGGGAAGGTCCTCTGCAGTCCATTGTGTGACCAGGACATCGCGTTTGGACATTTACTAGTAGCCAAGGCTTGCTTTCCCAAGGTTACTAAAACTATTAGATGAAGTTACTCCTATAAATGCTGAGACTAAGTCATGCAACCTTGAACACTCTCCAGGAAACCCCCCAAGAAGAAAGATCCCCCTCTCTTCTACTATAGTCAGCACCTGGACCAACTTAACGTTCTGTGCAAATACTCTGCTTCTAGGATGAGAGAAGCTAACAAACTGAATATGTATTCAATTTGTTGTAAGGGGTGAACCTCACAAATACAGCCAATCCAGGTCTCTCCTTTATTCTGAAAAAACCAGTATATGACCATGTAGGGCTAACAGCAAGAGTGAAAGATTTTATAAATTATTTTGTTTTTTTCTATAAAGACATCAAAGCAAAGGATGTGCATTCATGCTAAGTCGCTTCAGTTATGTCCAACTCTCTGCGACTCTATGGCCTGTAGCCAGCCAGGCTCCTCTGTCCATGGGATTCTCCAGGTGAGAATATTGGAGCGGGTGGCCATGCCGTGCTCCAGGGGATCTTCCCGACCCAGGGATAGAACCGACATCTATCTGTCTCCTGCAGTGGCAGGCGGGTTCTTTACCACTAGCGCCACCTTTAGGAAGTCCCGAAGCAAGTGACATCACACTGCAAATGAAATCGCCTAGCCTGGCACAAGGTAGGTTTGCAGTAAATCTTTCTTATTGACCCTAGTGTTCAGCTGTGTCTGTTGCTAAGCACAGGAGGACGATGCCTCCTCCATGTCCTTTACTAAAAACTACACCCCGATGGTCACGTCTGCTGGCAAAACTCAAGGCAACCAGCCTCATTCCTGGTCTTTAACTTGTTATTTAGTGCTCTACTCACAGTAGATTTCGAACATACCTACATTTTAAAAACATACACACATCAGAAGTTTTATGGTCAGGAAAGCTATCTCATTTTTAAAGGAAAGGAGACAGGCATCGTGTTTGAATCTCAGAGGACCATGTCATTGGTGTGGCTGATAAATCTGTAAAAGACTTCACTCAAGACACACCAGGGGAAGGACATGGTCTCCCAGTGCTCTTGTAAATGCTAGGCATTAAAATAAACCAGCAACCGCTTTCTCTGAGAAACCCCTAGATCCTAATTATTGCGTGACAGAAAGAAACTGTTGAGGCGCTCTTACGATTTTACTTAATTTCATACAATGCTCCCTCCTCTTTTCCACAGTACCTGTCCTATAACTTTGATTCTCTGCACCAGTTTATTTGTATTCTGTAGAGGAAATTCTGAGCTTATGTTACACCAATCCTTTCTTGCAACCCTTTCTTCTTTGTCATCTCCTACTTCCCTCCTTTTTGCAAAAGTCAAAATGCCGACATCGGTCTGCATGTCTTGGTCAATGTGGTCTCTAATAAACAAACTGCAGTGATCATCGAGCCCTCTTCAGATGTCTGAGTCAGCTTCAGCTCCACCCTGAAAACAGTAACCAACTCGTCAGCACAGCAGACGGTGCCACCTGCTGAATTTCTGAGAATCACCAGCAGCTCTAACAGCGTGTTGGCTCTCACTTGCTCCCCTGAACTCTAAAGCAGCTGAGTTTTGTTCAGTCTGTAGTAGTCTTGGATTGGCCATGCAAACTGGAATAAATCAGGCCATGTGGTATTTATAAATATACTTTTTTTAAGCCTGGGTTCATTTTTTTTTAATTGGAGGAAAATTGCCTTACAATGTTGTGTTGGTTTCTGCCATACGACGACTCGAATCAGTCATAATTATATAAATATCCCCTCCTTCTTCAGACTCCCTCCCTTCCTCATCCCAGCCCTTTAGGTAATCCCAGAGTGCAAGGCCAAGCTGCCTGTGTTACGCTATACAGCAGCTTTCCCCTAGCTATTTTACACATGCTACCTTCTCAATTTGTCCTACCCACTCCTTCCCCTGCTATGCTCACAAGTCTGTTCTCTACGTCTGCATCTCCATTTCTTCCCTGTAAATAGGTTCATCAGTACTATTTTTCTATATTCCATATATATGTGTTAATATATGATATTTATGATATTTGTTTTTCTCTTTCTGACTTGCTTCACTCTGTATAACAGGCTCTTGGTTCATCCACCTCACTACAACTGACTCACATTTTCTTCCTTTTTGTGGCTGAGTAATACTGTAAATTCTGTGTGGATCACAATAAACTATGGAAAATTCTTCAAGAGATGGGAATACCAGACCACCTGACCTGCCTCTTGAGAAATCTGTATGCATGTCAGGAAGCAACAGTTAGAACTGGACATGGAACAACAGACTGGTTCCATATTGGAAAAGGAATACGTCAAGGCTGTATATTGTCACTCTGCTTATTTAACTTATATGCAGAGTACATCATGAGAAACACTGGGCTGGAAGAAGCACAAGCTGGAATCAAGATTGCCGGGAGAAATATCAATAACCTCAGATATGCAGATGACACCACCCTTATGGCAGAGCGTGAAGAGGAACTCAAAAGCCTCTTGATGAAAGTGAGAGAGGAGAGTGAAAAAGTTGGCTTAAAGTTCAACATTCAGAAAACTAAGATCATGGCATCTGGTCCCATCACTTCATGGGAAATAGATGGGGAAACAGTGGAAGCAGTGTCAGACTTTATTTTTTGGGGCTCCAAAATCACTGCAGATGGTGACTGCAGCCATGAAATTAAAAGACACTTACTCCTTGGAAGGAAAGTTATGACCAACCTAGACAGCATATTAAAAAGCAGAGACATTACTTTGCCAACAAAGATCCGTCTGGTCAAGGCTATGGTTTTTCCAGTGGTCATGTATGGATGTGAGAGTTGGACGGTGAAGAAACCTGAGCGCTGAAGAATTGATGCTTTTGAACTGTGGTGTTGGAGAAGACTCTTGAGAGTCCCTTGGACTGCAAGGAGATCCAACCAGTCCATCCTAAAGGAGATCAGTCCTGGGTGTTCACTGGAAGGACTGATACTGAAGCTGAAACTCCAATACTTTGGCCACCTCATTCGAAGAGTTGACTCATTAGAAAAGACCCTGATGCTGGGAGGGATTGGAGGCAGGAGGAGAAGGGGATGACAGAGGATGAGATGGCTGGATTGCATCACCAACTCAATGGACATGAGTTTGGGTAAACTCCAGGAGTTGGTGATGGACAGGGAGTTGCGATTCATGGAGTCGCAAAGAGTCGGACATGACTGAGTAACTGAACTGAACTGAATACTGTAAATGTGCTTTTAAGATCAATCGACATGATAGCATGCTTCAAAGTGTTTTTCAACATTTAACTATGCACACAAATACTTTACCATAGCTTTACCGTCAGGGCACTAGGTGAGATAGACAGTCCATTTTGCAAACATGGAAACTGAGGCAGAGTGACTGACGTGCTTCAGAACAGAAAGCTTTTCAATGACCACGCTGCAGTCAGAGCCCAGGGCTTCTGTCTGCTGGCCCTGGCTCACTGTTCAGACACTGGGAATACCCAGGGCTCTGGGCCCACGTCTGATCCATCTGCTGGGGTCACCCAGCTGGAGCACTGAGAGGAGTGGCTGGGAGCAGTCACACAGCTGACAGGCCTTCAAGTCAAGGGAAGACTAAGCTACACACTGAATTTTTCTTCTTATATATAAAAAAATATATATATATATTTTATATATATATTAAAAAAACCAAATGGAACTTTGCTGACACTTATGAACAGCATTTACATACGTTATGAATACTTCAAGATCCTAAATAAAGCCAAAACTCTACTATTTAAGTACATCTCAGTGACCCATAGCTGATCTCAGGACTGCTTAGTGTAAACGATTATGTCACTCTGAACTCATACTGAATCTTTGGATTACACTGGAACATATGAAATCACCATTTCTGTAGGTCAAAGAACAACTCATCAGGAACTCTGGTTACTTGTTTTATAATTCAAGGAAACAGCCTTTCTGGGACATTATAATAGCTGCTTCTTCAGGGTTTCAACAGCCCCACTAAGGGGGGAAATCTCTGCAGCCTCTCTCCCCCACCACTCTGGCAGCACCTCTGCATCAGCTGATAAACTGCCCGCTGATTCTCCCTGCCCTGTCTCCAGTCACCAAAGCTCCCCATGTGGGATGGCAGGGACCCAAGGTACGGGTGTCCATGAGCAACCAACCCTATGGACTGTGAAGATCCTCCCTGGCCACCCTGAACTCTCTCTGGAATGAAGTCTTTGCTGTGACTTTTCCCTCAAAGCAGAAGTAATCACATTTTCTAGGACCCACTGTTCTCTGGTCCAGCGTCAGAGACTAATCCCCACTCCCACAAGGGTGCTGTCATAAGGGAGATGGGCAACACTCCTGTAGTTGAAGGATCTTCACAGGCAGTGATGGATGCTGAGTCCCTGCAGCTCTTCCGTCCTGGGTGTCAGACAGGACAAGTCCAGGGCCAGCCCAGGCTGTGCCCCCTCGCAGGGCTGCTCTCAGAAGGGCTGAAGCTCGAGGCAGCATTCAGTGGGTGCGACCTTGATCCCTAACTGTGTCACCTTTAACTTGTGCTAAGTGCAGTCTGATGGGGTGATGACGCATGCACACGAGCATGCACACAGATGCCAGGCAGCTGAGCACCCGGGGAACTTGGGCGCTGGGCAGTCAGCCTGGAGTCAAGCACACACCCACACGACCAGAACCCAGGTGCCACGAGGCCCCAAGGCGGCAAGGCTGGGACCTGGGCCCAGACTGGTGGTGGCAGCAGGTCACGGCTGTGGGAGGGGGAAAGGGCTTGGGCAGACACAGTGGAGGCAGCTTGTCTGTCCATCATCAGAGCCCACCCTTGTGGAGTCTGCACAAATACTCAGCTCTTTGTCCTGAGCCCCAGGGCAGTAAATTATTACAAAGAAGGGCCTACAGTGGACAATGCAGTAAAGTATTAATACATCAGGGACTTACTAGAGTTCTTCAAAGAGTTTGTAATCTCTCATTTTGAAAACTGCAGCAACATTGCCAAGCAAATACTCACAAGCACAGAAACAGAAATCAAGTGTAGAGATTGTTGCACTGGATAGAAAATATCCATTACTTTCTAGATGAAGCTTTAGATGATGAAATTATTAATAAGGAAGCCCATTTTAAAATTAATTTTCCATATAATTGACAATGTAGTATAGAATGCATAAACAGGCATTCTGAATTACACGCAACCCAAACCCACAAAGACACTTCTAATTTCTTGTAAGACCTCTATAAGTTGCAGGAATTGGCAGAGGAAACATTAAAATAATCTTGTATAAACTTACATTTAAAATTGAATTCAGACATAAAAAATGCATATGTGTGAAGAATAAAATCTTTAGCAAAACTTCTCCATAATTATCTGATTTAGACGTATTTTTTTAAAGTTTATTAAAAATTTATCTCAATGTTGTTATAATCTATACAGCTCCAGTAACTGTTACAATAAACAAAATGAGCTTTCCCAAAATAAAAAAATTATCAAAAATTATCTGCCATCTTGCAATTGAAAGGAGCAGCTAACACTGCTTTCAATTATGCCAACTGAAATATAAATTATGATGACCTAAACAAATGAATCTGCAGAAAAGTGAGCCAGAAAAAATCTTATGAGTCAAGATATCATATGAAGTATTACTACTGGTTATATAAAATTACTGCACCAAAACATTTTTTTTGCAATTTATAAGTTTATGTTAATAGTTATGGATTACTATTACTCCTATTTATATTTTGAAAGTAAAATATTTTTAATATATTTATTTACATTTATTTATTTGGCTGTGCTGAGATTTAGTTGCGGCATGTGGGATATAGTTCCCTGACCAGGGATTGAACCCAGGTCCCTTGCATTGGGAGTGAGCAGTCTTAACCACTGAACCACCAGGGAAGTCCTAAAAGTAAAATACTTTTAATGGAAAAGCCTTACACTCGTTTTATAGGTTGTTCTCGAAATGCCTGGAGCTTAATTTTTTAAAAAGAAACATTAACATGTGATGTTAATTTTGGGAGAAGAGGGTGCCGGCAGCCTGATGCCCTCTACGTATCTCAGCCCCCCGTATCTCAGCCTGTTCTTTCAGGACCAATTCCATGAAGGTTCCCCAAGCCCCAAGACCTCCAGAAGGCTGCCTCTCTCTCCCGATCTCCAAACACTCTACCCTCTCTAAGCATTTATCTTCTTCATACCATTATTTACCTGTTCGTCTTCATGAACTTCTGAAATGCAGTTGTGCAGCTGACTCTTCACTCCCTCACAGACCCTATACATGCTACTCACAACTCAACTTACTAAATCAACCGACTGTCGTTTGGCTTTTATAGGGACAACCATCTTCATTCCCTTTTAAGTTGTGGGCTGTACGAAGAAGAGATTGGAAGCTATTGATGTAATATCATCATAAGTCAAAAATGTACATTTTGCAATTTAAACTTTAGATCTGAAACCAACTGAAATAAAGGCAAAGGATATCTTGGAACCATCTCTATTCATTATCAAACTCATGACTGTTTAAGAATTTAAGTTTTACCAAAAAAAAAAAAGAGTATGTCACCATTCTTGGGTTCATATATTTTCAAAGACCATACTGTGTCACCATAAGCCAAGATTTATTCCAGCCTTCTCACTTACACAAGCTACCCCCTGAGGGGAGCCAGTACAAACAGAGCATGTACTCACTTTAAATCAACACAGATCTACCTGGATATTCCCAGTGTTCTTCCTAGAGCCTCAACTTGTAAACTTCCAGGCTGAGCTGAAGCTGAGTGGAAAGCTTCCACCCTTTCCCAGGGACGGCAGGTGAACGCAGTGTCTATGGGCACCCCCGGCCGCCCACCTGGGGCCCACCTGGGTGCCCCTCACAGCAAGGGGAACCCAGCTCACCTCCTGGGGATGATGCCGTTTTCCAAGCTTGTGGTCTGGCTCCGAAGCCAGCGGCGCTGGTAGCTGCTGGACGAGGAGGTGGAGGAGCTTGGAGACGGGAATGGTGTGATCAGAAGGCTGCTCAGGGAGGCTGCAAGAAGATTGGAAAGTGAGAGCTGAACTCAAGGAGCCTGCATGAACCTACACAAAAAGCACAAGCCCAGGAACCTAACTGTTCAGGTTCTACAGGCCACACCCAGCAGGGGGAGACCAGCCTCCCCTCTATACTGCGAGAAAATATCCCATAAAAGGGGAAATAAGTCAAAAGGAACAGGGACCACAGACAGAGTCTTGCATCCATGACCAGACCTCACTTACAAACGCAAACAAGTATTACTCATCCACTCAAGAGTGCAAACTGCAGATTTCTGATACAGTGTTCCACAGAACTATTGCTGTTGCTGCTGGGTAACCAATGCCCGACACAGCGTTCACTCACACACATTAACCTCTCTTGACCGCTTCTTCACTCTATATTCAGAGGTGAAAGCCAGGCAGAAAGGTAGTTACTCCACACAGCATCGCCTCTCCTGCACCACCAGCCCCCGGCCCACTGCCACTCCCTCGCTGTGAAAGAGGATTATGTGCATGTGCCATGTGCTCAGTGGTGTCCAACTCTTTATAACCTCATGAACTGGGGTCCATTAGGCTCCTCTGCCCATGGAATGTTCTAAGCAAGAATACTGGAGTGGGTTGCCATTTCCTCCTCCAGGGGATCTTTCCAATCCAGGGCTTGAGCCCAGGTCTTTGCATCTCCTGCATTGGTCAGGTGGATTCTTTACCACTAGCACCACCTGGAAAGTCTTGTGAAAGTGGAACAACTAGTCCTAACTGTTTTTTCCACTTGGACTACTTACTTGCCTTGAGCCGCTCTGCTTCTTCCTGTTACGTAATATCAGTGCCTTCCGAAGTAGGAGCTACATACAACCTGACTGGTCCCCCTCAGGGCAGGCAAAAGGGCTCCTCTCAAATCTCGGCTGCTGGGCGGAGCTCTGTGGGTTTGGAACGCTGGAGGAGGCAGACTTTTTCTCCTTTTACCTCCCCAAGTTACTGGGTCAGGTAGAGAAGGGAATGGAATGTGACAGGCAGCCAGTCGACATTTTCAGACACAGGTACTGACTTCACTAAGCACAGTATACCATGCTCATGGACACTGCTGGAAGGCAGCTTCTCCACACGAGCTATCATGTTCTTATTTCTACTTTTACAGGCAGATGGAAATAGGCTGAGTCCCCAGCGTGAGTTCTGAAATCCTGCAAGGGTTGACTGGCTGCGCATCCAGCATCTGCAATGTGCCAGGCACTGTGCAGCGCATGGTGGCCCCACATGGAGCTGACGGCTGCAAGACCAGAGAACCCCCAGCCACAAGGGTGAGAAACTAACAATCTAGGCTTCCTTGTCCGCAGCAGAGGTGCTGTGAGCATCCATGAAGTGCTCTTCTTCTGATCTAGTCAACATGCACAGGAAAAGTAGAGCTTATTCATCTGTGGATCCCTTGTATCCAGGATGTGCCTGGGACACAACGGACAATTAACAAAGGCTTGCTGAACGTATGGCACTTCTGCACTGAAGGGCTGCCAGGTGAGGCTCACCTGGTTTCAGCCTTGAGGCTGGACTTACACCTCCAAAATGAAATCCCCATTTCAAGCATTAGTGAGTAGGTAACTCTACTGAGAATTTTGAAGGGAGATAGAGTTTTTCCTCAAAGTCACAGAATACTACTTAATTAAAAAAATCCTACTTAGACATGTCTGCCCCACCCCCAAGTTCTCAAAATCCCCTGTAAGATCCAGAAGATCCTCGTTCCCTATTCCCAAATCTCAGGGTCCCTGGTCTTATGCTGAGCACATCAGCTTCTTCTTGGCAGGTGGAGGACACCATTGAGATGCAGCACTTGTATTATAAATACTTGCCCCCACCCTGTCACAAAAGCAGGATGGGATGAGCTGAGGACCACTTTCTCCTGGAAGTCATGCTCATGCTGTGTGCTCAGTTGTGCTGACTCTCTGTGACCCCATGGGCTGTAGCCCGCCAGGCTCCTCTGTCCACGGGATTCTCCAGGCAGGAACACTGGAGTGGGCTGCCATGCCCTCCTCCATGGATGTTCCTGTCCCAGGAATCAAACCCAAGTTGCCTGCGTCTCCTGCATTAGCAGGCAGATTCTTTACGACGGCACCACCTGGGAAACCCTCTGGAAGTCCTACAGCTGTGTGATTCTTCTGTTCCGCAGAGGAGGAGTAAGACCCAGGCTCTTCTTCAAATCCCAGCTCTGCGGCTCACTGGCTGGGACACCTGGGTGGTTCACTTAACCTGTCAGCTTTCTCATCCATAAAACGGGAGCAGTAAGGGACCACACCTCAGTATGTTTTGTGAGAGCTGCAACCTGCTGGTGGGTTATGAATTATTTAGCAGATCAAACCTCGTGTTTTAAAAAAGAAGCAAGAATGAAAATAGAGTAGAGGGCAGTGCTAACACTAATTTATGACACTTTTGTTTGTCATATATAAAGATGTTTGTTACTGGATCATGATGTGAAATGCATTAGCGTGGGCGGCAGACAAAAGAGAGCTTTAAAAACCACTGACCTATTTCACACAGTTCCTGTAGGATTAAACAAATCAATACATGTAAAACACTCAGCCCAGTGCCCATACAGTAAATGTTACCTACTCACTCTCTGACAATTCTTGGAAAAGGTGGGCCAGGTAAGACATTTCAGAGAACTACTAAAAGGTCATTAATTCTGAATAGTTAATTGTGAAAAGAACTGAGAACTTGTAATAGAGACATGAAAAAGAAAGGCAAAAAATTAAAATAATAAAAACCAAGGAGGATGTTCCCTTTATCCGTACTATAGAATGCTGAATAATAATTTTGATGAAAACATAAGCTAAAGAGCTGGCTGAGCGTTCTCCAACATTTCCTGAAAAATATTTTGGGGCCTTCCCTGGTGGTCCAGTGGCTAAGACTCTGTGCTCCCAAATGCAGAGGGCCCAGATTCAATCCCTGGTCAGTGAACTAGATTCCACATGCCACAACTAAGAGTTCACATGCTGCAACTCAAGATTCCATGTGCCACAACTTAAAAAAAAAATCTTGAGTACCACAATTACCAACACAGCCAAATAAATAAAATATTTTTAAAATGCATTTTGACATCACATAGTAAGATTTTTATGCAAAAATTCTGTAGTGTATGTAGTCAATCATGCGTGCATGCTGCATTGTTTCAGTCCTATCCGACTCTTTGCAACCCCATGGACTGTAGCCCACCAGGCTCCTCTGTCCATGGGATTCTCCAGGCAAGAATACTGGAGTGGGTTGCCATGCCCTCTTCCAGGGGATCTTTCCAACCGAGGGATCAAACTGGCATCTCCTGGGTCTCCTGCATCGGCAGGTGGAGTCTTTACCACTAGTGCCACCTGGGAAGCCCATAGTCAATCATACATTTTAGCAAATGATACAGCTACAACTCTCAGACACAAGAACAAGCCTCATTTTGCCTTGTAACCTATTGTCATTTTCATGAGAAAAGGATGGATTCAATCTCCACTTAGTGCGTGTGGCTATGGGCTGGGCCACGGTCTGCAAGGGAGTGCAGCCTGGATGCTGCTGGGACGCTGGTCCCCATCTCCAGGGCTTCGTGGGCTTCCCCGGCTGGCTCACTCACTTCACTGCGGGCCTGGCATCTCCAGGACACCAAAGAGCCTCTGAACAGGGGTTCCATGGGGTAGGTCCCAGCCCACACCATGCTTCCTGTCAGCTCCACAAGCTGGGTAGAGAAATTCTCCAGTTGGTGCCTCGGTTGTAAAACGTGCGACTTTCAGTTAAATTATTCACAGCCTCGGCTTCAGCTTTAAAAGTGCTATGTCTAACACTTCTTAATATTTTTAGTATCACTCTTTTTATAATACTTTTATAATTAGCACAAATGTTAATGCACACAGACTGCAAAGATTTTCGGAGTTTTGCACATGAATAGGAAAACAATTTATGCTTGCATCCCGGCCCTCCTGACAGAGGTGGGCTCTTCAACAGGTGTCTATTTATTCCTACAGAAATTAGCAGTAAGAAAAAAGAATACATCTATAGGCTTAAAAATGTCAACAGTTGGCTCTTCTTGACCTGTGTTGTTCAAGATAAGCATTCAGCTTTCTCTGGAAATACATGTGCTATTTGGAGAGCTTACTGTATTGATACTCTGACAAAATCTGGATTCAAAGCGACAATGTCCTGAAACTCTTAAATCCATTTGCTCAACTTTGACTGAGCACCTACTAAATGCCTGGTACCACCTGGGCCTGGGGCAGAAAGTTACAGCACAGAGACAAGCTCTTTTAACAAGCTCTGTCCTTAACAAGACTCTATGCATGGAATAAATAAACAAGACGATATCAGACAGTGTTAAGTTCACATGATTTTCTTTAAGCAACCAGGACAAAGGTTTACTCTCCAGTGAGTGGTCAGAGAACACCGTTGTGAAAATGGTACATCTCAACTAAAACTAAAATCCAGCAAGAGTCAGTCATGGAAAGGGCACATCAGATGTTCCCCAGGAAAATGACTAGATCATCTGATTGTGTCTCTTTAAAAAACATGTATGTACTCCTCCTCATATATATGGGGAACATGTAGAACGGCAATTTACTCCAGTATTCTTGCCTGGAGAAACCCATGGACATAGGAGCCTAGCAGGCTCCAGTCCATGGGGTCAAAAAGAGTCAGACACGACTGAGTGACTAACACTTTCACACTTTTATTTTGATGGTGGAAGTGATGATGGTGGTGGTGATGGTGATGATGGCAGTGATGGTTGTAGTAATGGTAGTAGTGGTGGTGGTGATGATGGCAGTGGTGGTGGTGGTGGTGGTGGTGGTGGTGGTGGTGATGATGGTGGTGGTTGTGGTGATGGTGGTTGTTGTGGTGATGGTGGTGGTGGTAATGATGGTGGTGGTGGTGATGGTGGTGGTGGTGGTGGTGATGATGGTGGTGGTGGTGATGGTTGTGGTAATGGCAGTGGTGGTGGTGGTGATGGTGGTGGTGGTGGTGTTGATGGTGGTGGTTGTGGGGATGGCAGTGGTGGTGGTGGTG